AACATAAATTTGTTGATTGACTTTAACATAGTTTCAGCTTACTATCGTTAATGACTGAGTTAATTGGTCGCATCACAGTGTATTTTACATAGGACACATATAGATATTCTGAAATATAAACTCCCATGGGACACAGATTTAATATGAAATATAAACTATAATGTGACAAAGATTTATAATGAAATATAAACACCTATGTGACACAGATCTTTTATGAAACATAAACTCCTATGGGTCAAAGATCAATTGTGATATATAAACTTTAATGCGTCACAGATCTATTATGAAATATAACCTCCCATGGGACAGAGGTTTCATATTGAATATAAACATAAACACCAGTCAGTGGGAAACAGTTTTTCACACATAACACATTTACCCCAATCTGCCATTGCAACGCATTAACGCTAACGATGTTAGATGAAAGGTCCTATACGAATCATATAATTCAAACATAACAGCCAACTCATTTCATCATCTTGGTTAACAGCCCTACATTTTGGACGAAGATAAATGTACGTGCATGTTCTAATTTACTTTAAATTATGTACATGTACATTTTTTCCAAAAACCTGCCCAATATTAAAAATGTAAGCATGTGAACCTTAAATGCAGATTTGATAGATTTCTTGTAAGTCTTTTAATTGTTGATTTGGTGTTTTGTCTATACATTTGTGCTTTTGGCTGATTGAAATATACATATCTTGCTCACTTTTATCAGCCGTCTAAAAACTTCACTCAACTTAAGCTTAACTGTCATGTTCACGAAGATAGGCATCATCATGATAATTTCAATTTTATTCAGGATCAATGGAATTTTCTAACGTACATATATTTAATACGGAGCGCATATGCTGATTAACAGCTTATTTTGCATACGTTAACTTCTTCTTTGTCAAATATTTCCAAACAAATTAGAGAAATTTTCATTTATCATTGAAACACTTATCTCCCATTTCGTGACTAATCTGGAACATCCATGTGGGATTGATTGCATCTCTAAACCCCTTAGGCAGAATTAGGGGAATTTGTTTCCCGACGGTTGAGATTCCCCGTCTCACCTCAAGGGGGCGGAGATTCATTTCTCTTACCATGTTTACCCATTCACTCACATAGTATAATGCTAACTTTACATTCTAAATACAGGGTTGACAAAACGTCGATTCATGGCTGACGTGACGTCATACAATTTAATGAATAGAGGAATCCGCAAGTGTCAACCCACGGGTGGGACAAAGATTTATCCCACCCTCCACAGGTGTGTCTCCCTTTTAAGCCGGAAAAGATCAGTTGATCATCCCTGGGGGTAATAGCCTCGATCAGAATGGTCCGATCTAGTCATAAAAATAGTATGACGTCACGTGATCAATGCATTGACGTTACGTCAACAGGAGCAGACCATGGTACATAACTCTGGATTTGCTGGGAAATTATTCAATCAACGCTTATATTTCATGCAATCACGGCTTGTCGGTGGATTTGTGAGTGAAACAGGATGGGGGTAAAACAAGAATCCCCTCCCTTTAGGATGTGACAGAGAAATATCCAACCCGAGGGATGATATTCCTGATTGTCTTACCCGAGACTTTGTTGATTGTAAGATATTCGAGATTATCATCCCGAGGGAGAAGGGACAGGTACAATGTAGGGGGATATTCTATTAATTTCACACCGGGAAAAGTTTGGATACACCTGTCAAGGGAAAGAAAAGGCATATCCCATATGAGTGGACTCAATGACCAGTAATATTATGACGTCACAATCAGATGACGTCGTTTTAAGACGTCACAATTGAAAAATCGTCTGATTACGTCAATTTGCTATTGGCAAGTGAGATCACCTCTATAATATAGAAAATGTTGTACGGGCGTGTCCTAAAAGTCTTTCAATTTGAGTTGTACATATGGTCTACCGTACTTTTCTCTGCTTTTTCCAAATATGAATTTAGTTTGCGTATACGTTGTTTATAACCGCTACTACATTTAGTGTTGCATTTGCATTGTCGATGTCCAATTTCACCAAAATTAAGGTTGAGACTTTGGAGAGAAAGTGACAATCATTATTCAGGTACACGTGTATGAGTAAAATTGAAATTCTACCCTCGGGTGCAGAACTTTGTATCAAAACTTCAGTTAATCCTCTGACTCGAATTATACACCCTTGTGTTGAATATCAATATCCCGAATACCAACATTTGATAATCAGTATCAGTCAAATCGAGTAAAACGAAAATGTTTTGAAAAAATCTGTCTGACATTTCGTTCCCATTTTCCCATCTTCATAAATAATTCCATAGCGACGACGCAGAGGAAATACACTAACATCCATAAAAGGTTGAAACAGCTTAGTAAATAAACGCGTCACTGTCATCTGATGAAATGTATCGATACAACAGACAGGAAAATGTTTATCTATTTATTCATTTAACAAACTTTAAACGGTTAATGCAATTATACATAAAACATAGCAAACAGTTACTTAATCATGCATGCAATTGAGATGGATTACGCATCCGTGTAATGTAAAACGAATGACACGATACTGATCGTAATGCTACGTTATAGAGAGGTTTTAATATGTATATACTTTAAGATACAATTTTTTTCCTGTAAGAATCTTTCAATTCGATCTTTCGTCGTAACATTTCATCATACGTTTTATATTCCAATGACCTTTTGCAACTCTCTCACGTATTCGATTTTATCGCTTTAGTTTACAAATAACATTTTAAACATGTGAAGAGCAAGGTTAGGTGATGTCCCAGTTGCATTTAATTAACTGTGTCAATGTTTATAAAGTAACAGTTTTTCAAAGATATTGTGCGCAGCTTTCTCTCTCTCTCTCTCTCTTTCCACCGTAATCAATAACATATTAGTGTTCGTAACGACCTCCTTTCCGCATTGATCGAGATAAGTTAACTGGATTAGACTCAATATAACATCTCCAACACATAAAATACGTGGCTTTATATGCGACCGAGTGTAAAATGAACTCACAAACACTTGAAATATGAAGAAATGTCTTCATAAACCTAAAATTGAATAAAACCACAACCCCAACGCCAACTCCCTTCCCTCCCTACCTAAAGAAAGTCCCATTAACTGATCGATCTCCCCCACTCTTGTAACGCTCGTTACTTGTTTCAGTTACAAGCATGTGTTCAGCAATAAAAGCAACGCCGAGGACATCGTATGCATGTCTACTGTGATACACACAGTCGAATGACGTCACGGCTGCGTTATTATTGGGACTCGGTTTGAAATAGTGGCTATGAGCCCATGACCATTAGGCATGAATGGCCACATATGGATTCGTTAGTGTGAATTCTGCACCAAATAGAGTTGTTACTGCCATGGCATAAAGAGATCATCCTGCGTAAACACTGCATTATATGTCGGAAATGTAGACATATTACTCGCCGTTGTATAATAAAACTTGTCTGTAATAAACACTATAGGGATACATATGGTTGGTTAGACACAGGTTCAACTGTTAGCAGTGCTGTCTTTTAAGGTCACGTTTATAGCAAACCCTCGTTAATCCAGACAAAACTAATCCGGTTGCCACACTACCCAGCCGGTTAGGAGACAGACCAAAACGTTCTTTACGAAAAGTTGTCAGTTAACCCTGGCCTGATTATCGATGCTAAACTGTGTGTCGTACTATATTGTACCTTGCTGTATCTAAACAGATTATACAATGTATGTGGTTCCAGTTACATAATATTTGGTTAAGACAGAGAAATGTTATAAAATAAACGTAGATACGGGTTCTATTGGCTACAATGTATACAGGGTTTATTATGATTTGTTACACAGTATGGGTTTATGGTCTTTCAAAACGTTCGATTTTGGTTGAATAGGTGTAACAGTTTTGTCATTAATATTATGGAGAAATTATACGTTACACTAGACATAATAGTCTAACTTGAATGCTAGCCTACATGTTGCTGTTTCACGTTTACGGCTAACGTAAGACATATTTGGATGATAATTTATTATAACAACTGAAATCGAATTTATTTAGGTTTTGTTTTGGGGGTTTTTTTGTGCTCAGAGATGGCTCTTCGCTTTGTTACAATTATTATAATAAGGCATTGCAATTCATTAGCATACATTTTTTTGTTAGTATGTGAGTAGTTAGTATACATGTGTGTTTTGGTGGGGTTTTTTGCTGCTCTATATCGTATATATGTATTTTTCCTTTTTAGTGTCATGTTATTTAATTTACAACAATTATCCGCACTCAACTCGTATACATCATCTTTAATTCCATGTTATACCATTAACATCAAGTCCTTACTCTCAATCTGGACACAATCTTGCTTTCCCTTTCACACTCATTTTGTTATATATGCTGGTAGTGATGTTACTATTGTTAATTCATTTAGTTCTTAATATTTAATAAATCAGAAAAACTAAGCAATTATTTACTTATTTCAGAAAGTAATTGCCATATGATCATTTAAAACTGCTCCCTACTAGCAAAGGTATAGTTTTCCTTTTCGTTAAAATTTCGCGTATAAGTCGCTTGAATCAAAACCGATATCCGCCAAAATAAATCAACATTGCATTGTATATATGGTGTAATCCCTGAGCGATAGTTTTAAACGGGAAGGAAGACACTTATCACGACAGCTGTTGCTTAATTTGTATAGGCACTCATAATGCCTGACAGTGGTTTTCGTATCCACAAAGGGTTTTACCATATTCAAATTTGAGTTCAGTGTTGTAGCGTGTAAAACCACTGCAAAATTTAAAACAAAATACTCAAAGTGATATTTCAATACGACAAGTCTCAACATTAAGTAGGTTATTTACATAATATTTACATATGCCCTTCCCGTTTTCCAATAACTCTATGGAAAGTCATCCTGTTTTTACTGAACAGTAACTGCAGTCTGCATTATCTGGTCACATGACCAAGGTTTCCATGACGTCAGTGTTAACAACCACTCCCACCGTTACAGCGACGTCATCAATTTGTATGATAGCCGCCATCTTGTTGTTGTCGTTTGGTTCATACAAGTCGCGTTTTGACGGGTTTTGCAGACAATGAAGACATCCAAAATAGGAAGGTAATTTCTCACTTTTGTATTCATGCATGAATAATTAGAGCATTTAACTGTATTTAACTGCATTTAACTGTATTTCACTGTGTTTAACTGTATTTTACTGTATTTAACAGTTGTCGGCTGGTTACATTGTTAAGCCTTTGCGTGCCGCATGCATTTTACGCCATATGCCTTTGAGTGCCGCCAAGGCCGATCAAATTTGAACCTCAGTGCTGACGTCATTGTGGGATAAAAGTTTTCTTTTTCTTTCTTCTCCTTTTGTGTGTATTTTTTTCTATCATAAAATATTGAAATCAAATATACGACTAAACAATGAAATGTTATCTCCTTGTTGAACACAATATTTTCAAATAATAAAAATACATTAGGACGTGAAAACATTCGTTTATATTTCTGTTGCAAACACTAGTTATCGTAGATTCTAACGTCTGTTTTCCCTTTTGATTTATTTTTTATTTTTCAAATTGAAAATATTTCATAGTTCATAAAATGTTAATATGCATATGACTTGTGCAATGCAGATATTAATTGCATTTGAAAAACTTTACTATTACTTTGTTCTTTTCAACTAACATTTCATCGGAGATTTCTCATTGATACTGCACTATTGAAAAATGTTCTACAAGTGCTCTATAATCTGCTATGCCATAAATTCGAACTTAAAACAAATCAATACATCATGAACAGTGTTTACAGTTACACAGAAATCATTTCCGTTTGCTCAGTACGTACACTATTGATGAGAAAGGATTTTTATAGTCTCGTTGCAATAATAAAAGACAGAAAACTGTTTTACTAACTGTTGTATATTTGTCTTTATCGATTGATCAGACATTTGCAGATGTTGCGATATTTATTTATTAACGATAAACATCAACAATCGATGCCTCCTACATGTACTCTGCTTGGTAAGATACAGATCTTAGTTTAAAATTAGCCTTATTTAATTGTGTTTTATTGCACGGACATTCATACGCATCATAATAATAAGGCAACAAATACAAACTTCATCTCATTTGAATTAAATTAATGTGATTTCAAATAAATAATTATATTAAAATAAAACTGGTTTACATAAATAGAACCAGCATGGCGATATAATAGTATCTGTAACAGTATCTATTTGCAGTTGCTTATATCAACGTCTTATATTATGATTTAAGTTACAAGTATGGAGAAGGAAGTGCTATTAT